TTTTTTTTTTTTTTTTTTTTTTTTTTTTTTTTTTTTTTTTTTTTTTTTTTTTTTTTTCACCCCTCTACGAGCTCATTTTATTTTCATTTTTTTCTTTTTCTCTCTTTCTATTCGGTGTGCAATGGAGTTGACTGTGCGATTGTGCCAAAGTGAGTTCGGGATGTGGACTTTAGCAAGGTTATTTACGTGGGTTCGTTATTTGGTGGTGAGAAATAACATGAGAATGGAAATAAATGACAAAACGTAAATAAATTGAAATAAAATAAAATAAATTAAAATGATAACGTAACTTAAAAGTAAATAAATTAAATTAAAATATAAAAAAAGATGATCAGACATCGTTCGATACAAAATTGATCCAACTTGGTTGATTAAAAAATTATCAAACAGTGTCTCATCGCCCTGAATCACTGAATAAGCGGGTTAAAATATCGTACGAATTAGTCAAGCTTTTCATAGTACACCAAAAAATTGAGTGCTGTGAGCATCTTTGTATACCTAGTCGTAAAAATGATTTTTCTAAATAAAAATATAAGTTTAATCTACGTATTAGTAAAAATAAACAAAATTAACGTGTGATAAACAAAATAAAATATTAACAAAAGTAGTGCTTTACAATATAATTGATGGGGCCGATCTACAAACTTAATATACAACAGGTTACTTAATGCTACTGTTATTGTGAAGTGGATAATTTTGATTTTTAATGTAACATTTTCCTATGGCGTCGTTGCATTTAAAAATCACAAAATCCACACTTTGATGATACAATACTATAATTATTAATCATACCAATAATTATAGCATCAATGCAGTTAATACAGCAGGGGTATCATAATTTACAAATTTGGTGCGCTTAACGTTTTTACCAGGTGTATGTTTATTTACAATGATGGGTTCGAAGGATTTTTGGACGGATGATTATTATTTTTGATGCGTATGTGATGCATGTAGGGAAGAAGACAAAATTTTCGCGAGTTAGAAAAATTGTTGTATTCTTTCCTAAATAATTGACGGATGCGTAATAAAATAGCAGCATCGTTATTTAAGGCGTGCGAATGAATGTGAGGGCGGTGGTGGTGGTGGGTGGATGTGATGTATGTTAGAATGAAATAATTAGCCATAGCTTTCTTTTTAAAATGTTGTTTTCCTGAGACTCACTTCCTGAACTTCTTTCGTGCGCGATGGTGCGCCTCGAGGCCTTCTGACAGGGACTTAAGGCTCTTGACTGCAACCTGGCTGAGGCCTGCCTCACGCTGGGGACCGTACCACCTGATCCAGACGGATGGTCCGCCGCTGTTGCCGTTGGTACTGCTACTGGTTGTGGTGGTGGTGGTGGTGGTGGTTGCGGGGGCGGCAGTGGTGGTGGCGGCGAGGACAGTGGCTGGCTGCTGGTGGCGTTGCTGAGGCATCGGGCCGAGCGCCTCGATTTTGCCGGGCCAGGCGGCGTTACCTCGGGCGGCGCCCCACACGACTTCACCCACCGCGAACACCCGCGCCTTTTTCGCGCCGGCCGGATCATCCTTAGGCTCTGTACGCACAGTTTTGGGTTTCCTCGTTTTTTTCAACCTTTTCTTTTTCTTTCGTTTTATTTTATTTATTTATTTTTTTTTTTTATTTATTTATCTAGCCATACTTAACGTCATCACACATGAGAAGTACGAGCTTGAAAATTCGTCTCGACTATAAACTAAAAAAAAAAAAAATATAGCATTCTAAGCTAAAAAGAGCAAACAATTGACTAGCAAAAATGTAAAAGCCAAGTACTCTGTGAGCGATCATTTTTCGGACGACTAGCTAAGTTGGTACTTCTATGCGTGGGTGGCTGTATTAATGAAAAATAATTTTTATATAGCGGGTGGAAGTAATTTGGTAAGTGCTGACATACTAATATTATAATGAATCATTCGTGATTGACTGGTTGTGAATTGTGCGGAACGCTTTTCAGATCTTTTGGTCTACGTATTTTTTTCTTTTTTTTCTTTTGAAAAAATCGACTACTCTTCATTTTATGTACTAGTTCTTTGTAAATTGTGATAGAGTAATATTAATTGAAAAAAAAAGTTTTCAATTGGTCGATTTTCCAAAGTATCTGCTTAATCTGGAGCTTAGCTTATAAAATTGGCGCAGTAAATTTCCAACATGTGTAAGCTTATATGCGTAAGGGTTGGGTGATTTGATTGCAATAAGCCACACTGTGATTGAGTGATGCAAATAAGCTTTCGAAAACGAGGACACAAAAACATTCTTAGCACAATGTCCGCTAAGCTTTTCGCGTACTCGTTTTATCCAAGTGATTTTCTTAATAATTAAATTCAATATGATGCATCATTAGCGTGATTCTAATAATTCCTGGCACAACATGTTGGTGAAAACGACACATACATAATTACGTGACCTAAAAAAAAGCGTACCAGTTTCCCATCCAAAAGCTACCACACAATAATGTAATATAGTGATCATCACCGTTGCTTTAGCATATATTACATACACTTAACACCACGCAATGCACACGAGGTAAATTGAATGCTTGTGGGGATGATTTACATAATTCGATGATATTTACAATGTGCAATCTATTTTTTAATAAAAAACGAAAAAAAAAAAAACCAATGACATTAAAAACAATTATGTTGTAGCATTACTATTATTCTCTTACTACAACTAGCCAAAATTCACGTATGAAAATAATCATTGCCAATTTAAATGCCTCGATTAAATTATGAATTCATCCTCCAGAATGAGTATAATATAATGTAGTTGTTGGCTTGATGTATTTTCGTTCGTGCATTTTTTTTTTTTTTTTTTTTTTTTTTTTTTTTTTTTTTTTTTTT